GAAGTTCAAAAAATTAAAATGGCTTATAAAAACACAAATAATTATATTTAATTGAAAGATGATGTCTTTTTCTCCATCTATTACATTTAACATGATAATTATTTTAATAAATTGACAGAGTTTTCATCTTGCTTATAATTGAGCTAATTTAATAAAAAAATTTGGTATTAAAATGTTGTGGTAAAATTAAAAATGTAATTTATTACATAAAAAAAGAAAAGATTTTACAGAAAAAACCAAATTTTTGTAAAATCAATACATCTCTCTCTCTCATCACATATATTTGATAATTTTAAAATGGGTAAGTCATAATAATAATAATAATAATAATAAATAATTTCAAGTCAACATTGGATTAGATGCCAACGACGACGATGCATTTATCATCGGTAAGTTTTGTAAGGCAGGAAACAAGTTGTGTAGCAAATTGTTTGGAATACAATATTATTGTAAAATGATATCGCTGTAAATAATGTATACCTGCGTAATGTAAATAATTTATGAGCATTGAAGTGTTGCAATCAAATCGTTTGCAACCGACTTTATATGAATAATGAATGAACATCATTTATTTATGCATCCAAAACAGTGAATTTTACAGTAGATGCAGTTAAGGCCGTTACGATATGGGAGAATGTATTGTACGAATTGTATTCATTTTTAAATAATAATGCATTTTATGAAAACGTGCTTCGAACATCGTATATTATATTATTATGGTATACCTATAGTAAAGATGGTCCATATAACGTAAGACACTCATTATTTAATAAAACATTAAGTAACATTTTTTCAAAGCTCTCTTAAACAAAAGTTAACTCTTTATATCACCACACATCGGGTTGAGCGGAGAAGTGGACGAACATTTTTGTACCCATTTACCACTCCACTCCTCTCATCTAAGCTTTAAATACTTATAACTAGGGCCCGGAACTTGATGACCTAAATACATTTTAAAAATGTACAAAATAAATTTATAAAATATTAAAATGACATAAAAATGACATTAAAAAATTAAAAATTGTCATAAAAGAAAATTATATTAAAAATGTATATTTTATATTTTGTACACTTGAAAAAAAAATGTTAAGTAGTACTTTTTAGTGAAATTTCTTTTTTTGTCGTATTTTATACACTTATTTAATTAAAGTAAAATTATTGACGTTTTATTGTACAGTTATTAGTTAAATATTTATTTTATATTGTTTAATATTTTTGTTTTACCTTAAAATGCTTTACACTGCACAATCAAAGTGTTCTTAATATTTTAAAATAAAAATGAATGCCGATTATCCAAACGAAAGTGTTTTGTACATCGAAAACTTCTCTCTACCTCAGATGTGAGGGAGCGTATTTGAAATACGTAGGTAATATCGTTTATGTTCATTGTTCACATGATATTATCATCTGGTAAACAATATCGATCGTTGAAGTTATCTTCTCCATATCATTTTTATGAATTATTTTGTCCCTGATTTTTTTCGAAAAACTGAATTAAATTTATTTAGAATTTGACGACCAATATTATTAGTAACATGTTGAATATTAATTTTTTTTCTATCTTAATCATTTTCATAGGATCGGGTAAACTAACTTTGGATGACTATAATTTAGTTACCTATAGATTTGAGTAAAGTTCCAACCTTTAATTTAATATAAATTACAGCATACAGTAGTACCTGCCTACAATAGTATACTTACCTGCAACCTGCCTATAGTCTACATGTCTACAATCTTCATTATATTAATAATTAATACAAAAATAGAATTTTAAATAAATTATTGAAGTCTATACGATGTATTATGTTACTCTTATCGAATATTTAGTTTAATCAAAATAATATGTTATACTATACTATACTAAAGTGTAACTTTCAACAGTAAAAAATATTAATAAATCACGGTAAAGCATAAAATTCCCTAAAAATGCAAATTAAAAATTGTATTATTAGATTTTCTACTCTATAAATCACATTTCTATATAGAGACGAACAACACATTTGAGTAAATGAAAAATTGCAAATGCATCAAATTTTGGGTCCAACTTATAACTTACTCATCAACTAAGTACTCGCTAAAAATTGTTTATATAAATTAAAATAAGTAATTTAACAAATATTCTTCTTTGGAATAAGAAATTAAAAATTATGAGAAAAAAAAACATTTTAAAAATGACAACGATGAAAAAAAAATAAAAATTAATTTTTTCAATTGTTGTATAGACATATACAATAGCACGTATAACTACATCCAATATATTAAAATATATGTCATACCTCCACTCAGGTATGGATAGAAGGAGATTAGCTATGGAGGTTAAAGGCCTTTATATAGCTTATAGGCCCATTTAATATAGGTACTTGAAGTAAATTTATTCGTCTAGCCCTTCCTTTTTTCATTTACAGATCCACGCCTGCCTCGGCCTATAATTAAAACATTATGATAATAATAGTATTCAACATAAATTCAGTATATTACTTCTATAATACTTAATAACATTTCTATCTAATGCATTCTGACGTATTAAAAAAATTCAATACGAGGTCTTCATATTTAGATTTTCCATATTGTACCTACCATTGTTATTGAAATAATTTAACAAGTATGTATATAATAATTTTAATTACCTAGGTCTGTCAAAAAAAAAAATGTTGGTGATATGCATAAAATTCAAAATCACAGTACTTTTCCTAAATAATTGGCAAAATGACAAACATACAACTAAAATCTGAGGGGAAACACACATAATATATTTTATTCATTGCAACTGAATATTTGTTTTTAGAGTAGTTGACTAGTAATCTTACACTGCCAAGCTCACAAAGGTAAGAAAGTGTGCACATACATTATAAACAATAAAGTATAATTATATAATTAAACACAAATAATAAAAAGGTGAACAAGTGAGTAGCGCTCTGCTGTACAGTAGTAAGTTTGTTGTTAAACGTGTCGTTGCCCATGTATCCTTTATATTTTTTAACTTACATTAATGAAACTTATAAGGAACGTTGCATTCAATTTCCTTGCTTTTTACTAATTCAAAAAGTTTTTATCTAGAATAATTTCAAAAAAAATTACAAATTTAAAAAAAATGTTTAAGGCAAAAAGAGTCATAATAGTTCGAAAATGTTACAATTCATTGAAAATTATATTATAAATTTTTGGTGAAAACTTTAAAAGTCTACGATTATTAGTTTTTGAGTTACCTAAAAAAATGAAATTGATGGTTTTACCATTAGTTCACTTTTTTGTTTTTCTTGACGCTTTCTAAAACTACTTGGAACTTTCAAATTTTACCTCCCAAAAGTACCAAACTACCAACTACATTCATTTTCTATCAGAAAAGACGCTGATCTCGGAAAAATATCGGATCATTTTTACTAGGCACCCAAAATTTTAATGACAGACAGAAAATAAAAACACACATCATTGTAAAATCAATACATTATTTCGCTCCGCTCAGAATCTAAAATGTAATACTACACAACGATTGACTCACATCATTATAATATCATAATATGAGCATCACGTATAAGTTATAATACAAGCACTATAATATTATGGATAACCCATTGATTGCTGTCACGTCGTTTCAAACATACTTTTAGATTTCATTCGAAATCAAACAACACAAAAAAGTAAAAAAATGTCTTAAAGGCCTTTTACTGACAATATAAAAAACTGACTTAAAATTATATGAATAACGTTGAGGGTTGTCTTGCGTCCTAAAATGCTTTCAACAGACTTCCTTCTTACTTCTTAGGTCTCTGAATTCAGCATTCAAGCTTGAAAAACCATCTAAAAACATTAATAAATCCTGAATGAGAGTTCTTTTAGAATATATATTTATATGATTTATTGTATGGAGAGGCATACTTAAAGAACATCGAATAGTGGGTAGAATATAATTCAATGAATAAGTAATAACAGTAAAGATACATGTATAATATATATATTATGTTATAATATACAATCTTCTTCTTATATTCATATATATTGTTTATAACATATATATTTTTTAATGCTATAAGCGTTAAAGTGTAACCACCGAAAAGGTTTTACCGATATAATTTACAAATACACGAGAGGTGTCTGAGTGTTTGAGTGTTATTATTTTTATTATTTTTTCATTTTTATTTGTATCTTCTGTCTTGGTTTATTTTGGTACTTATTCTTAGTTAGAAATAATCGATATAGTTACCATACCATATGGTATACGGGTACCTATAATACACTCACAATTTAAAAGGTACATTGGTGTATTTAGAACTTTGTCTTACTGTGGAAGTAGGAGGAATATATATTTACCCAGAGCTCACTGACTCAGGGAGAGACCTGTCCTATGACCTCCTCGCATCATATATTATAACTTGATAAGTTAAATTGGTTTCGTTTCGCTATAAAACAGAATATATATATATATATATATATATATATATATATATATATATATATATATATATATGCGTATTTTAACATTAATACTTCGTTAGTAATTATCATTTAGAACATGAGATCCGAATTTATAATTTTTATAATTTATTTATCAATGGCGTCTTTAGATATCTGGTATGATTTTGACATTCTAGTAAGGTACTTACTAAAAAGTAAAAAGGCAAACCCACTTAATCTACATTTTTACTCGCGGTATATTGACGTTTGGCTAGTGTTAAACTATACCTATAGCTATTTGCTATTATAATTATAATTTATTAAATTACTTACTACCTAGGCCAAGGACGGCGAACCTTTTTGTACCAACTTTTCAAATAAACATTTTGGTTGGGTTTTGTTTTTCCTGCTTGTCAACTAGTTTGATAACCCTTTTTTAAACTTAAAAATTCCTACATCCATGGTTTAAATGATAAAAAAACAAATCAAATATTACATTATCAAACAATTTAAATATATTAGATACCAAAAGTATAAGTAACACGTAAGTAGGTAAAAAAATTGAATTTATAAAAAATAAAAAATATTAAATTGTTATACATGCATTTTTAATGAGCAGTTTGTTGCTGAATTTTATTGGCTAATGAATCAATCCTTGGACTGTAATTGGTTGATTTCAGTTGAACACATGCTTCATTTAAATCTGTTCCAAGACGATTCCTTACAGTTGACTTAATAAAATTCATTGAAGAAAAAAGCTGCTCACAAGCATAAGTAGATCCAAACATTGTCAATAAAGAAAGAGCTAGTTTTTTCATAGATGGAAATGAATTCGGAAGACTTTTCCACTCATTAAGAATCAAATTTTCCGATTTAACATTCTTACCAATTTCACTATGATTATTTTCCAGCTCATTATTCAAATTAATAAATTTATTTCTCCAAATATAACGTCCCTGAAATCCTATTAACTCCATTTCTAAATTTTCAATAATTAACCACTCAAAAACACTAACTTCAAGTTCGTCAAATTTAATATGATGTGGAATTATTAAAAATTGTAAAGTTGAATCTAGATGACGAAATTGGGAACATCTGTTTGAAAATAATTCATATTCATTTTTTAATATTTTTACATATTTTGTTATTATTAATTTCATATCAAGCTGATTATCTTTAAAATGTTTTGAATTTATTAATTGTTTTTTCAAACAAGGAAAATATTTCAAGTTTTCATTTTGTAGATCTTTACAAAAGACTTGAATTTTTTTTCAAAAATTTTAATTTTATCAAACATAGTTAAAACTGTTTGACCTCAGCCTTGGAGTTTTATCTTTAAATCATTATAAATTGCTGCAAAATCTGTGAAAAACATCAATTCATTCAACCAATTTAAATCAGTAAGCTCTGGATAATCTTGAGATTCGTCCTACAAAAATAAACGTACTTCTTCCAGTAATTAACGATGAAGAACTTGCCCGAGACTCAACCATCGAACACTATTATACATAAGAAAGCCAGAGTATTGCGACTCGACCTGTTCTAATAATTTGGCAAACTGTCGGTTGTTTAGAGCTCGAGATGTTATGAAATTGACAATTTTCGTAACAGTTTCCATTACTTTTTGAAGCGATTTCATACTATCTTTTACACACAACGCTTCTCGGTGTATAATACAGTGAAAGTTGATTATAGGATGCGAAATTTCATTGGAAAAAGTTTAATAAATTCATTGTAATTACCAACCATATTTGGAGCCCGACAGTAGTTATTAAAACAATATTTTGAATATTGATTTTTAAATTTATAAACTCGAATTCCAGTTTTACACGTTATATTCGCGTTATATAAATATATAATTAGGTAATAAAGTTCTTATCCACTAAAATTTTCTTATCGAAAAGTAATAAAATTAATAGTTGTTGAGCAGTGTAGATATTCAACTCAATGAGTGTAGGTACAACGCCATAAACTTAATATTTAATTTTTGTCATCTAAAATCGCAATATATTTTAGTGTACGTCCTATACGACCAGTTGTTTTTGATAACAAACTTTTACACAGTTGAGTGTGTCACTAAAATAGTGTGCGCGGGTTATAGGTTCGCAATCTCTGACCTAGGCACTTAAAAGTTATGATTCTGTATCATATAATACCTACATTAGTGATTACTATCCAATGTTTGTTTTCAATTACTACTTAGTTAGTATATCATAATACATTATAATATTGTTTATATTATTTTTGTATAATGACAACGTCTTATGCTTTTAAAAAATAAAAATGTAATAACTATACATACGACGTATTATATTTTATTGTAGAGCTGATAAAGTCTGTGTTTGAGTGTATACTTGACATCTACCATATCAGCCGCAGGTAGATTAGTGGGTGGATTTAAATTAATATCCGATTATTTGGAGTTAAAAATAGGTACTATATTATCATAATGAAAACCAAACTGTCAATTCTCGTATAGTTGTTTGCATAAGACAATTGATATTATTAAAAAACGCCAGTTATATATATATATATATAATGATACCTACTGTTGACATTAGTTGCAATCAAGAGAATTTAAAAAATACCTTTAAATACTTTGTTTGAAATAGATACCTTGTGGCTATGTAAGTATGTGATTTACATTTTCCACTCAATCATTTGTTATCAGATGAGTTTGAATACTTTGATAAACAATAAATATGATTGATGATTTTGCTCATATCTCCTCGAAAATATTTTCCAGTTTCGCCAATACATAGGATAAAGACTTTGTGTATCTCAGTTGGACAGTTTTTATGACCATCCGAAGATAGATAATAATATAACTATGCATTTTAAACAATACCTAATAGCGATTTTAATCGGTTATTCAAATTACTGTCGGAAAGCTGGTTTTCATCACTATAATATTGGTGTCCGAATCTGAATTTGAAATGCTAGTACATCTGTATCTATGGAAAAACTACTCACTATTTTTCTTAGGAAAAATGATTTATTTATTTTAATAATACAATCCGGTAAAATCATTTAATTTTGTGATTGTACTTTTATTACCTAATTCACTTTTCGACATATAAAATTATACCGAATACCGTGGTAGCACGATTCACGGTTGTTTTAATAAGTTATACCTAGTATATTACATTATTATAGGTAGGTAGTTGATGCTTACAAAACTATAAAATCGATTCAAGCCTAAAAGTTATTTACTTTAACGTGGTATATCATTAGTAGGTATTGAAGTTTTAGCAATTTTATTCAACTAAGTGTCATGCTAGGGTTTTTTGTATAAGTAATTTGTGTATTCCAAGTCTTATAAGTTATAGATACATAATACATATAATTTATTAGTTTTTCACACATTAGTTGGTCTTTTGTTTTGCCAATAAATTTGATTTTAGTAATAATTTAACATGTATTTGGTATCGTAATTTTTGAGTCATAACTTATAACAAATAACAATAGGTACATCCAATAATATACTTGTTGTAAAAATCATGTGATAAAAATAATAAGTGCAATTGCATAACTCATAACTTAAACACTTACCTAACATAGGTACATCATAAACTTAGAATAATAGGTACTACGAAAAATACTATTACTCACGGAATATAAACACAATAATACAAAACCATTAATACAAAGTTATGTGAATATTGTAATCTTACACTTAACATTGTCAGATAACATGTATTCTAAACTTATTAATCACGATTAAAATCTATATATTTTATAATAGTTATACAACAATTTATATTCCATGATATTTTACATTCTGAATAATCAAGTAGGTACCTCACATATCGTGTAATATATTATAGTATAATACTATATTAATATACCTATACATCATAACAGTTTTCAGTTTTGAGATATGGTAATGATAATTTTTTGACTGGCAATTACCGAAAATAATAAGAGACAAATATCGGAGGAAAAAAATCGTACATGAAAAATATATTTCACATTTTAAGTGTAATATTATTGATGTCGAAACCCCAGAGTGGTTTATATTATTATTAATTTTAACTTTTAAAGCATACATCATAAGACAATTTTTGTCAGAAAATCAATTAAAACGCTATCAGATAAATAACTGAGTATATTCGATTGTGTTTTTTGGGTATAAAAATGCTACTTACGCTTACATTTTGAATTCTGAGAGGGCAGAAAAAATTTATTGATTTTACAATGATGTCTGTACTATTTTATTTTATTTTTTGTGTCTGTCAACAACATTTTGAATAGTAAAAATGTTTCAATTTTCGAAATCAGCATTTTTCCTGATAAAAAAGTGAATATAGTTGATACTTTTAGAAGTCAAAATTGAAAATTCCAAGTAGTATTAGAAAGCGTAAAAAAAACACTAAACAAAAAATGATAATTTTTACTCAAAACCGATTTCAGAAAAAATCAATTTTAATTTTTTGGTGTGACTCAAAAACTAAGAACTGTAGATATTTTAAATTTTGTTCAATTATTTATACAAACATTTTTGAAATATTTTGACTCTTTTTGATATAGTTATAGACTTGCGAAATGTTGAACGCTTGAATGCTGCATGCAGAATAAAAAAGCATCCTTCTTACTTCTTTGTTCTGTTCTGCAAATCTGTTTAAACTTGAAAGCAGACTTGATTTTCAAGATCAGCATTTTGTCTGATAAAAAAATGAATCTAGTTGGTACTTTTAAGTGGTCAAAATTGAAAATTAAATGTCTTCTTAGAAAGCGTCAAGAAAAACTAAAAATAGTGAAAAAAGTGTTAATTTGAAAAAATAATCATGGCTATAAAAATAAAGTCAAAATAGTTTGAAAATGTTACCATGTATTAAAATTACTTATATCAAGGTTCCACTTATGTAGGTTATGCTGTAACTAAAAAATATAAAAATTCTTTTTATAGTTATTTTATGTTCAAATTTGGACGATATTAAATATTAAATAACCAGGAATAACGATTAATTTTTTTTTTGTAATTTTAAAATATTAATTCAACTTTCCATACTAAGCAAAAGTGTTAAACCTAGTCCACAAATGCAAGCATGATATTCACTAAATAGTTGCACATCAGGATGTGAAGATGGATTTTATAATGTTTGCACCATTTCCCCAATACACCCACTATTGTTTTCTCTGGTGCGCAAATTGTTTGGTCCAATAAATTTGAATTTTGTAATTTATTTTTCATTTATTGTAATCCTCAAATTTTCTATGTCAAAAAGTGTTGGAAATTAGCAAATGTACATACCTACAATTCTGGTGAAAAACAGCTGATTTTAGGCATACTTTAATATCACTCAAATAATATTATGGTAATAAATAAATGATGTATTATTGATTATTAGTCAAAAATAAATAAATTAGGAGTCATAAATTCCATAAACGTATAATTATTTTAATACACTTACAAAAAAATCAGTGGTTTTGACTTTTGACATTTAATTAATAATATTATATTAGCATAATTTAAATATGCCTCAAGATAACGAAAAATTCCAACACGAAAAAGACAGCGCTAAGTCCTGATGACCGGATAGAAAATTACGTTCTTTTTTTTACCCCAATTCGATTACAATGTTTTAACAGTTTTGAGTAAAGATAAGGTGTATTTTTATGAACAAAAAAAATGGTACATGCAGTATATATTTTATTTATTTAAAAATGTTCATACAATTTACATAATTAAGTACAAGATACATATAAAATTAATTTAAAATTAATATTTACAATTTACAAAATATTTTTATGATGATGGCCCAAAAGCCAAGCTTGTAAAAGGGTACAGAGAGTTCAAACACAGATAAAGTCATGGTTAAAATATTTTCAACAAACCAGCTATATAAGAGTAAACTTTCAACAAGCATTACAAATGTATTAGGTACAATAAAATTCCAATTGCTGTGTAGCCATGTAAGTAGTAACGATTTAAAATAAATCTTTGAATTATTTAAATATAAATTATTTATAAATT